GGTTGGGGTTTCGGGTTTAGGGTCTACTACAACTGTCCAGGGTTTAAGGTTTGGGGTTGGGTTTCTTTTGCGGTTGAGGGTTCAGGGCTCAGGATTTCGGTGTAAGGTTTACAGGTTCAGGGCTTAGGGTGTGTGTTTACGCGCTAGGGCTGAACAAGAAGGGTTGGACAAATCAGTAGTCCAATGCCCCTTGTGTTTCTTACGTCGTCTCTCCACAGCTCTAAGTATACTAGAACATATCCCAAAAATACTACTTCAATTTTTTGTGGCCCTACAGTATTGCAAGCCTGACATCAAATCTTCCACCTGGAAGCTTCAAAATGTTACTTCAATGCGATGAACTCTCACCGTAATAAGCTTGGCTGCCCATCTGGGTAGCTACCGCTCAAGCTTTGAGCACTGGAGTCGGGTTTCGACCGGCTAAGCGTTTAGAATTTGACGTCCATACGTTTAGTTTGAGATTCTACGTTCGGCTTTCGGGACGCGGGCTGTTTGCAGACACGATAATTCCACTTTCAACGCTTCCAGTTCCTATTGCAGAACTAAAAGCCCGATCCTTCGGTGTTAATTTTGAATCGCCGTGCGTGAGCCTCCGAAAAAGGCAAGAAACGAATTTCCAGTACTTGCATCATTATAGACCCTAAGGGTCCACGTGCCCACATCGCATGTACTTTAGCCCCAAAGTACCTATNNATTTGGGTACATGGACCCTTGGGAGAGGGTTTGGGACACTTCGGGCTTGATCATGGTTTACTCATATTGTTAGTAATCAACCAGGCTTGGATGTGGCAGTTTGGGGTTGTGCTTTAGGGTTTTGGGTTCTGCGTTGAGCTGGGTTTTAAGGCTTTAAGGTTTTAGGGTTTTAGGGTTGTGAAGGTTTAGTGTCCTAGCGTTTTGCTTTGGGGCTTTGGGTGATTCTGTGGCTTTGGGGCGTTACCAAGATTTTCGTCCCAGGGTTTAGTCTAAGTTTGAAGGCCCCTAGGGCCGCGGCGAAGGCGAAGAACACATCATTGGCATTCACGTCCGGCCTCAGTTAATTCGAACCGTCATGTTGCGGGAGTACTTTGCCAAGCAAGTTCGCTGTGGTTTTAGGGTAGAAGGTTTACTAAGACATTCGATCCCACGGACTTTGTCAATGCTAATTACATATACACCTCGGTTTGAGAATCCCTAAACGTGGCTTTTAGAAGGCCACGATTCCTATAGTCGCTTGCGGCCGCCAGTAAGGGAGGGGGGGATGAATCCGCTCCAATCCCTAAACCCTAAACCCT